AAGTATAGTATATATATATATATATATATATATATATATAAAGTACTTCCCAACGCCTATAGGNGAAAAATGAACAGTGATTTTGCTACCCCTCATCACCGTCCAAAGTTCATCGCACGGTCACGATTATCCGGTAGTATTTCATTTTTCATTTTTTTTTCTACAAATCGAAATGATATGAAATTTGGAAGTTGTGTACATATTACTGAGTCACAACTAATAAAAATATAAAAAAAATAATTTGGAGCGTGTGTACGTATTCTGGGTTATTTTGGTCAATTTATTTCATGTAAAATATTTTTTTTATATTTTTTGTAGATTCGCCTATTTTTGATGAACACGCTCCAAATTTCAGATCATTTTGATTTGTAGAAAAAAAAAAAATGAAAAATGAAACACTACCGGACAATCGTGTCCGTGCGTTGAATTTTGGACGGTGATGAGGGTAGGCGAAACCACTATTCATTTTCACCTATAGGCGTTTTGTAGTATCTTCCATATATATATATATAGTCTAGGATTCTATACTTTATTTAAATTAGGGACCTCCTTATTTATAATTAGCAAGCAATTCAACTATATTAATAGTATGGTTGCATTGCTAGCTGACTATAAATGAAAAAAATCATTCAGTTTTGGTCATTATCTTGGTCTTTAAGGTGAGGATCGAGATCTTAATAGTGGGGATTGAGATCCCTAATAGTAGGGATTGATATCCCAAAATTCAAAAATCAAGATCCCTTTAGGATCCTTTTTTCATGGAGTGTCATAGTGAGATTCAGTGCGGGATCGCCCACTAGGTTGGAAGATCCCTGCAACTATGGAATGCCTCCCAAAAACCCTTTCTCCCCTTTAGAATGGGGGAAAATAACGAGAAATACATACATCCTCCTGGCTTCTAGGCGCCTGCATTGGGCATAAGGCAAGCACTTAGAGGCACGCCTACGCTCTGGGCGATGCGCCTAGAGGTATCACTCGCCTAGTCGCCCCGGTGGGCAAATTTTATGACCTTATTTAAATCCAAGTTTGTTCTTTACAAAATGATGTGCTGCCATGAACAAATGGCAGCGATTCAAAAGTGACTCAATACCTTTCAGCTTTCTTTCTGGCCTCCTGTTTGTTCTGATGGATTCAATGTATTGATCTGCAGAAAACCAAAGAGGACTTGTCTTCAGATATTAATAGAGTTGATGGTAATCTGAACGATTGTGCCCGAATCACTGCTGCTACTGAAGAAAAGGTCGGGAATGTTTCTTGTTCAGTTACACTAGTTATTGGCATGTTAAGTGTGCACATGCATGCATGTGTGTGTCTTTTATGGATATTGATTTTCATTTCATCGTTTTATAGGTGGTCCTATTACGAGATGATCTAAAGCTGGTTGGTGTTGATGTTCAATCTGTTCATCGTGCAGTTCGATCCCTGGTGATAACTATCTTCTTTTATTCTTTTATTAGAATATGGGTTGATTACAATTTTCTTCTATCATTGGCTTTTCTATTGCACTATTAATTGGTGATACAGATCTTACTGTTTCTTTGTGTGACTCAGGAGATAAAAATTGGTCGGATAGAACAGAAACAGGTAAGCCTTATTTTAAGGTGGTAAATGATTGAACTGCTGAGGAATTTATGGCAAGTGCATGCAGTGATGCTTCATGTGTTTTTGTGAAATTTTGTTGCAGGATTATTCAATTAAAGGGGTGTCCCACTTGTGTCAGTTTGTACAAAACCTGGAGGAAGGACAACAAAGGGAGTTTATTCAGGCAAGAAAAACTTCTTATGCATTTGAATTACCTGCTATATTAACTCAAGTACCACTTACATTGAAACATAACATATTCCAAAGCCATGAACAACCTATAATCAACACACGAGTGCTCGCCCTCACAAACTCATACTGCATTCCAAAGCTTTAGCTCGAGTAGTTTTAGAATATGGGAAGCTAGGGATTGGATTATGTTGTCATTTTGTTTATGGATTTCACAGGCATCACCATCTAGCAGTTCGTCACTGCCAGCCCTAGAACTTCCACTGCATAGGGTAAGTGCTTATGTTCTAAAGAAATGTATAGCATGATATGACATACCATGATACAATGGAGTAGGTGTATGGTACTGTCTGCCGTCTGTTCCTTATGGTTGGGTGCATATTGACTACAATTCACTTTCCATTGGTTTACTGATCATGGGGGCTCCTTTCGAGTACTGGTTACAGTGCTCTATTGGATAATTGTACACTTCAACTTTGTCTGATACATACTTTGAGAGTCTAAAAGATTTCTGACATTCTTTCTTTATGCGGCAATAGACCTTGTCCACACCACCTGTAAGGCTTGCTCTTGAGGTACCGTCTCCATCTTTTGATTCAAAGGTCAGTAACATGCACTTTTTTGAATTATGTCATGTACTCTTGCCTAAACCTGTTGTGGGGCTTGTCAAGAAAGCTGTATTAATTTATCAAGAACAAAACTGCTTTTGCTTTATGCCCAAATCCAGAATTCGTCGAATTACATGTAATTGACATGTATGGACTGCAAAAGCTTTTTTTTTAACCTCTCCAATGGCCACTTCTTTTAACAAACAAAAATCAGAAATTAGGTTGAATTCCCTTTGATAACCAGAAGCTTCTTTGTTATTTATTTTGTGTTTTTTCCTATAAATGATGCCTTTTCTTATATTTTGAGTAGAAATTTGTCTGTGTTGACCATAATGTTCGATTATGCCATTTTAAATTTCTTTGCATTAAAAAGTGGAATATCCCACTCTAAAAGCTGGAAACCCTTTAAAGTTTGGAATGGAGTTGCTACAATTTTTTTCTCCATTTTATCAAAACAGTATTCCACTTTTAATTTGGCTGATATTAAAGGTATTCTAGTTATTTGTTTTGTTTCTTAGCTGCATCTATTCCTAGATGTGAAGCATGGACCGGACTCTCTCTCTGGCATTCTTCTTACCCTAAAACTCATTTCTTTTCCATCTACTTTCAGATTTCTCAACCTCTGCAGAGGCAGGCTTCCGCTTCAGGCCTCCAGGTTAATTTTAATTCCCATTCTCTCTCTCTCTCTCTCTCTCTCTCTCTCTTATTGACCCTTCTCTCTTCAGGTGCTACATGGAATATCCACCCCTATCAAGGCAGACAATCCTCCTGCTGATGGAACCCAAGCTTCAGGGGAGCCCCAAAGGGGCGAATCTTCGAAATCTAGTCAATCTGGTTGGCGGCTTCCTAGTTTACTTACGCCATTTATTACAAGGACTCATAGTGCAACTTCCTCCTTCAAATAAAATCAGATACAGCAGAAGACCGTTCGGATTTTGTAGATTCTGTAGATAATCATCTACTTTTACAGCATCGCTTAAGATAGGTTGAATCATTTCTTGGTGGTTCTTGTCACCAGCCTTGAATTATTTTGGCCTGAAGTAAAAAGAGAGAGGAGTGGTTATCTCCCTTTTATTTTGTGGGGTATTTATTGGATTATGCCACTCAAATTCAGTTTCTAGTTTTTGGGGTTCTGCCAATTTCAAGGTTTTTGTTGATGAGCTTTGTGATGGAGGTCATGTAGGCAGTGGTCTTTTATTCTTATGCTCAAGAAAACGGAGGAGAATGAACAAATATGATCCCCCTCTGATAAGTGAGTGTATTCAAAAGTACCTTCACTTTCCATTTATAGAAGATAATGAACTACATTTGGTAGTTTTGAGATCTGTTTTTTTACAATCTCTGCCTGTGTTTGTATGCGTATGTTACAGGGAGATATGCTTGAACAAAACCCCATGCTATTAGACTAGATGGTTAGCAGGTTTAGATAGACTACAACCTCGCAGGGCCTTGATGGAGTTGAGTTTTTTCTTTCATAGGATTTTAAAGGTTTTTTCATGCAAGAAAATGTAGATAAACAATTTAAAGATATATGAAAACCAAAAGCTGATATACGTAATATTAGATTCATTTGAATCAATATCCTCAATGTAGAAATGAAATTTTTAGTTAAATTTGCAGGTACAACGATGGATGTGCAAAAGAGCAAGAACAACATAATGTAGTAAAAATAAGCAAAAGAGGGGGGACGTAAATGAGCAGAGAGAGAGAGAGAGGAACTGAGTATGAAAAGGATTAAGATCGATAAGAAATAGAAGGGTCAAAGTGGGGTGAAGAAAGTGGATCGAAGGAATAATAAGAAGAATCATCATTATCTTAACTTTTTCCAATTAGTTGAGGTCGGTTAAATAACAATAAAAATAAACAAATGAAAAAGAGGATGGAAAAAGGAAGTAGGAAAAATTAGTGTTGATTCGCTCAATGCATAATGAAATTTATATTGGCGAGGCCCTGTCTAGCTGATCGGTTCACAGGCTCATTTCTTTCTCTATTGATATGGACAGTAAATTTTTCACCTGTCGAGGTAGGACTTGACATCCTTCATGGTGGGTATAATCGCCGAAGCAAACACGCATTGGAAGCCTTATTCATGGTGGGCTTTAATCATCATGAAGCAAACACACATTTGAAAACCATATTTGGGGCATGTATCTGATCTGAATTTTTAAATGTACACTCTTTTCCTATGAATGGATAGGAAAATGAGAAAATGTACCTTAAAAAGTGTTTTCTTTCACCCAATGAGCATAGGACTTCGGAATGATAAGATCTAGGTTTTTGAGGGATTTTCTTATTCCAAAATGTTCAAATGACCTTGTTATCTGAAGAAATAAATGATTTTTAGTTCTTAAATTCATAAAACTCAGTGAAAGAGACGGATTAGATTGATTGTTAGAGAAATACTGAATTCGAAATTTCTTTAGTGCTTTTGGGATTTGATTGTTTCGATAAAAAGAGCGCTTGCAAAATTTAGGGTCATAAAAATATCATGGACATGGCTTTTTATAAAAGTTGTTTCATTATGTTACTATGAAACAATGCCGTGAAATCTCTCCTCTTGAAAGGTCTCAATTTAACTTAGAATTAAGGAACTCAACTATCAATGGGAGTTTACTCGGTGTGCATCAATAGTACTCATTTATTTTCAAAAAAATAAAATAATGCAATTTAAAGTTTATGCAGTTTTTAATAAATATGCTATTAACTACTGATTAAGGATTATGGTGTTATTAAAATGATATGCACTCTCCCCAAATGTCCTTTAAATACTTCAAAGCTAGGGGTATTTTAGTCAAAGAATCTAACGTTGGTCGGCAGAAATAGAGCAGGGGGGGGTTTGTATTGGATAGGTGTATCCCATTGCGCATGCATGTGTCAGTTTGGGATGAATGACTTTTTTTTTTCCCTGGTTATGCGTCTAGGGAGTGATGTAAATGTAATATCCAAAGACTTCTAGCAGCAATTGCAGGACTCTAAAATTCTAGGGATGTGACCTTCTCAACCCAAAAACCTCAGATTCTAAACCTCACCCTCTCACTTGAAAAAGATAATGTGTCGAGATTGAATGCAGTTGGTTTGAAAAAGATAATGTGTCAAGATTGAATGGAGTTGGTCTAATATTTCGGGGTGAGATCCAAGTATTAAAAAACTTAAAATTCAAATTTTCTCTTTTAATTAGGTGCTTCCCAAAATTTAAGATTGAAAAAATTTGCCCAAGTAGGTCATCTACCCGCAGACGATTGGTCTGGTTGCACCCATGGAAGTATCGGTATGCTGGCGTCCCTTCCCTGTTGTAGTTGTGGATGATAAACTCTCAGATTTTGTTGAATGTAAAGCAAGCCATGCAACCTAAACACTCACCTCATGCCATTGCCTACTCTTATGAAACTAACTCAACAAATAGCAGGCAATGCTGATCTAATCTGTGTTCATCACTGAGCCCGAGGGTTATAAATTCTGGCATCTTCTAAGTCCTCATCTGGCAGGGGAGTATTGCACTCCTGGCTCTCGTAAGGTACATTAGCTTGGGATAGCCAGTCTTAGCCCCATACAAAGAAGACTCGAGCTCGCAAAGACTCTATCTTGAAAGGTTTTTGGGGGGCGAGAAAGAAGTCCTTGCTCGGGATATCGGTCCGGTTCCCTTCTCCTGAATAAATGTGGCTGGCATAACCATGATTCTGACTTCTGAGCATGTGGGGACATTGCTCTCTTGAATGATTGTGATTGATTCGGAGGCCAGCTCCATCATGCCAAACCTTTTTCAGGGTAGTGGCAATTTTACTTGGCCCGTAGTATGCACTGGATAGATATGGTTGAGCCAAGGGCGAACCTCTTTCTGTGCGCCATCTCGCAAGCCACACATATGAATTCAGCCCTTGTGACGCCCGTGGAGCTGGGCATGATGAATTTATGGAAGAACAACACCTGGTAAGCGGCAAGGCAAACATGGACTTCCAATTGCTGTGGCCGAGGTGGCATCTGAACTTCAATGCCAGAATCTCTTTGTTTGAATTAAACTCATAATTTAGGAACTGGGCTTGGGCTTGAGTGGTTAGAAGCTGACATCACATAACACTAAATCTCAAGTTTGATTCCTACCACTGGATTACCCATCTGTTATTCGTTATTTAATTATCCAAAAAAAAGAGCTAAACTAAAACATTTGTTTTTTACTCGGGGGCTATGTTACCCCAAAAGAAGTGCACAAGCTATACCATCTGATATGTGACTTCCATTTTATGTGCAACTGCCACTAACTCTTCATACACCATGAACAACTCTTTCAACCCTGCTGATGGGGGGGCCTTGTTCAAGAGTTCGCACTATAAGGCGATTGAGTTCTAGGGAATGAATTCGTCATACCTATTCCCTAATAAATAAATGCTTTCTATGTAGTGTAAGTCTAGGAAGGAAATATTGGCTTCATTGTGGTTGAGAATTTTTGTGTGGTATCAGGGCTCCACATCCAGCAATGGGCTTCGATGATGTGAGCACCAGTCATATAGCCATGCCAAGCATTGACAGGCATCGAGCAATCCTGCTCAGGATAGGGGTGGCAATGGACCCGGAACCGACTTGAGACCCGAGGGGTACACCCGATCCTAGTTAGGGTCCAAATCTTGTACCCGAACGCTATTTGGATATGTGTTTTGGTCCGAATATGAGCCTTATAATATCTTTCGGGTTTAAATATAGTTAATATATAGATATTTTAATTTTTGGGCCAGACCCGGACTCGATCCAACCCGTTGTCAGCCCTACCTAGGATAGGATTTGTCGAAATTGCCAACATATGTCTTGCGTCGAGAAGAAGTGGCCGCTTAGATTATGGCTCTCATCCTCCCATCTAAGGCCCTTGCTTCCCCATCAAAGGTTGGTTGAGTTGAGGATTATTTGGCTAGATCCGGTATCTGCCACGATATGGCTCAACCGAGGGCACTGGCTTAAAACCATCCATCAATAACGATTGGACTAAGTTAATTGACTACTAGTCTCTACCATTATACATCCTAATCGATGGTCACAAAGTATAACAATCCATCCATAATAAATGGTCTACGTTCCTTGATCACCTATCTCAGCCATTAAGGGTGGCAATGAGTTGGGTGGTATAAAACTAGCGTTTGGGCCACAAAATGTGGCCATATTGTCGAGCTACGGCAACCTGAGGGTAGGGGTGGGCCATGCCTAGGCAATGACCACAATAGGGTCAGCTTGGTTCTGCCCGGCCTAACTTTTTTTTTTTTCCTTTGGTTATATTTGAACTAGCTCGCCTTGACTAGGCCAAGATTAGATCAGGGCTTGAGCTTCTTCGGCCCTGTCCGTGTAGGGGCAGTTGGACCTGTAGGGATCTAGGCTAGGGCCAAGGCTAGCCTGGCCCGTTGCCAGCCCTATCATCAGCGATACAACTCAATCGAGGATCAAAACTTAGAACCATCTGTAAACACACCGTCCAAAATTGGTTTTATTTTCAAGTCCTTGAACCTTGAAGCATATTAGCCTAGTAAATCAGACACATTAACCCATAGTCCAAACTTGGACCATAGTCTAGTTGTTGGATATTCCCCAAAATATTCCCAAAGATCCTATTTAAGAAGCTAATATCCAAAATATGGGCAGGTCCTTAATCCAGAAAAGGAAAAAAATAAATGAAATTGTCTTAGGACCAGAAACTAGACCGGACCATTTCCAGAGCACACTGCTAACCTTGCAGCATTGTTTGGAAGCCTAAAGGGCTTAGCAATGCGGACCACAGCTTTTGCATGGATGGTCCATATCTAATTTGGACCGCTGCGTTCCGTAAGTTTCTTCTATAAAAAGGGATCTTCAGTGCTATCCTGGGGTTTCCCTTCTCTTGAGACTAGAAACCCTAACCTTAGCCTCACAAAGCTTTGTGGTCCAAAGCCTAGAAGAGCTCTAGGTGCCTGAAGCCCTAAACTCTCTACAAACCCAAAAACACAAGGAGAAGAACATCCTTCCTAGCCAAAGCCCTAGAAGAAAATTCCTTGAAGTATTCAAAACAACCTCTGGATCTCGAAAACTCAAAGTTCAAGGGGCTCAACACCATCTGTCTTATTTCGGCCCCAATTCCAAGAGCCGGGTCTAGAAGTCCGACTTCATAGGAGTATCTTTCCTTTACTTTATTTTATTATTTGCTTTCTTTTCTTGAATCTTTTCAAAATTCTTCACCTTGTTTTTTTAATTTTTTAAAGATTCATTTTCTTAGTTTTACACGAATCTAAGTCAACTCAATTACCGAATTATGAAAAAAAAATCTTTTGGGATTGATTCCTCATAAACTATAATTTGACATAACCCATTCT